CTGGCCCCAGGGAAACGGTCGGGGCTTCTGGTGGGCCGCATGGAAAAGAAGGCAGCTCGGATCTCTGCACGGATCCCCGCAGGGATACTGAAGGGGTACGATCTTCGCGCTGCCATCAGGCACGCCGAACGAAGAACGGAGGGGCCCGTCTGGCCACGGCCCGCCTCATCCACGGGTGAGCTCCCCGACCTGGAACCCGGGGCGCGGCCCGAAAACGCGGGCAAAGAACAGCTCACGCGTGTCGTCGACAAACACTCGGTGGCAACCCGTGGGGGCCTCCCGTGCCATGTGGTCGGCTCTTACGGATCGACGCTGGCCGACGCCAGATCGACGCTACATTCGACACTCATCGACGCTAGCCGACGCCAACTCGGCACTATCTCATCGACTCCCAGACACTACTTGACGCTAATCGACGCTGAAGGCAAAATCGACGCTGATCGACGCTAATCGACTCCCAGACGCTAATCGACGCTAGTTGACGAGGGTACACGAGGCTCCCGTGATTGGCTACCGAACAAATACGCACACGCGACAGTCCTCGTGCTGCTGCCACAAGAGGAGCGCGGAAGAGAGAAAAAGAGGAACGGAGGGGGCGCTTCTGTGGCCAGGGCGCGCCTCGGACGCGACTAGCTCCCCCGACCTCCTGCTCCTCCTGCTCCTCCTCCACAAATCCTCCTCCTCGTCCTCTGAGAAACGGCCCGAAAACCAGAACCCCTCATGAGCCGAAAATTGTCTTATTGTTTGCAGCGTCGTGGCTGCAGGGGCGGTTCTCAGCGGGATGCTACGGCGGCGAATATATGTGCCTAACCGGCTGATTACGGAAGCTGTCTCCCCTACATGGCTCGGGGGGGGTCTGGGCCGTGTGGGGGCTCTGCCCACCTAACGGGGACATCGACCGCCCCTAGGACACTTAGGGCGCTTGTAATTCTCGCGCAAGCTATCTTAAGCCAAATGAAAGCCGCCGTAGTATCCACGTAGAGCACCCTATCCCCCGTAGCAACTCCCGCCGTAAGAGATCGACGGTGAGCGATAGGCCCGCCATTGAGCGATGCCTGGTCGCTGGGCGTTTCGTCGAAGATCGAGAATCGCCGACGAGGCTCGAGGATCGAGGGTCAGGGCTCAAGGTTTGATGATCGAGGATCAAGGACCGAGGTTGAAGGTTCGAGGATTCAGGACCTAGGACCGAGGATCGAGGATCGAGGGGCGAGGTTCGCGGCTCGAGGTCCGAGGTCATCGCGGCGACAAGGTTCAAGGAGCCAGGTCTTTCGACGAGTCTTTGTCGGATGTTGCTAGGAGTGCCCCTGGCCCAAGGTGCCCCCAGGATTGTCGAAGTGGCCCAGACGGCCTCCAGAGCACGCCCCACGAGGTCCAGGGTAGGAGAAGAAAAAAACACACAAACGTAAACTTCTGGCGCTCCGCGCGGATTTCTTAGATCCGCGTCGGACCCCCCTCCCTGGCGCGCGGAGCGCGCCAGGGGCGGCGCCGGAGGCGCCGCTGGGTGGGCCCAGCGCGGATCCGAGAAATCCGCGCGGAGCGCCCAAAGTTTATGCTTGTGTGATTTTTGCTCTTCTTCGAGGGGGACAGGGGGATGGAAGAGGAGGAGGAGGGAGGAGGAGGTGGAGAAAGAGGAGGAGGAGGAGGAGGAGGAGGAAGGAGGAGGGAGGAGACAGAGGAAGGAGGTGTAGTTTGTGTGGTTTTCATGTTTGTGTGGGGCCCCCAAAAGGAAGCCAGAAGCTGGGGGCACCTCGGGCCAGGGGCACCTGCAGCCACCCCCGCCTCTGGACGCCCTCGGCTCTGCTGGGCGCCTCCGGAGCCCTCCAGAGGTCGTCGTCGTCGTCGTCGTCGTCGTCGTCGTCGTCGTCGTCGTCGTCGTCGTCGTCGTCGTCGTCGTCGTCGATCGGTGCTCGCGTCGTCGCCCTCTGCGAGCAGGGGCGCGCGCTCGCAGCTCGGCCCTGGCCGCCGCTCCGCCTACCCAGAGGCCGCCGGTGTCCGGAGCAGCTCCAGTCCGGCGCAGCAGGATCCTAAGGCGCAAGTCGGGCACGTCCCCCTACAGGGGGATTTTCCACGAAAATAAGAAATACCCCAAAAATGCCCCAAAAAGGTCAACAAGTACTCAAAAATAGTCCCCGTACTATTTTGGGACTTTTTTTTGTACTATTTTTCGGGTATTTTTATTGTTCGTCGAAAATCCCCCTGTAGGGGGACAGGCCCGACATAATCCTAAGCTTAAGTCGGGCACGTCCCTCTACAGGAAAGAGTACAGAAAAGTACTGAGAAAAATACTCCGGGGACCAGACGGACGGGGCTGGACCTAGACGGTGTTTGGGGCGATTTCGTGAGCCGTTTTCGTTTCGACTTCGCTGCGCGGTGAAGGCGGAGTCGAGACAAAAGCGAGGGAAAACGAAAACAAAACGAAAACGAAAAACACCGTTTAGGTTCAGCCCTGGACGATTTGTTCGATTATGTTTGACCATTTTCTGCAGTTTTGGACTATTCAAAACTTTTCTTCCAAAATCGGCCTGTAGGGGGACATGCCCGACCTAATCCTAAGGATGCGACGCAGGGATGCAGGGGCCCTGGACGCCCAAGCTGAGACCAGCGATGATGGTCAAGGATGGGACCGAACATGCCAGGATCAGAGGGTGGCCAAGGGAAGCTGCTCCTCATGGTCCTCCTGTGCTCAATGCACATGGGCCCCTGGTGGACCTCGCGACAACTTGCCGGGGGCCAGCACCTCGTCCAGCTGGATCGCTCACTGGCTGCACCCGGGGCCGAGAACGTCCCCTCCTCCCCGAGATCCGATGCTGCGAAAAATTGCAACATCGCGACCAGAAGGAGGAGGAGGGAGGACGAAGAAGAGGAGGCCCAAGACCCCGTCTATCTGCGCCACTCTTCGAGCCCCCATCGATCTGTGATGATCCCAGGGCCCGGAGCTGGGCGAGAACGCGCCAGGGGTTACAGAAGTGCGACGCCTGGATCCCAGGGCTCGGGCCAAGAAACGCCCGCGTTGATTTCTGCCGGCGCCTTGGAGGTCTGGCCCCTCCTCCTCTCGTTGAGGGGTCGACGACTCCTGCTGTCCCTCGACTCGCGATGAAACGCCGACGGTCTGATCCGGATTTCCCTGGGGATCTCTGCATCTACCTCGATCGGTCTGGCTCGGCCTCGATCCACCTCGACCGACCCCTGCTGATCTGGCTGGACCTCCGCCGGTGGGTCGGCGGAAATGCGCCAAGACCCGAGGGGTTCTCGCCGTCGGCGGGCCCGGCGCCCCACCCCCTCGGGGGGGAGGAAGAGGAGGAGGGAGGAGGAGGAGGAGGAGGAGGAGGAGGAGGAGGAGGAGGAGGAGGGAGAGGGAGGAGGAGGAGGAGGAGGAGGAGGAGGAGGAGGAGGAGGAGGAGGAGGAGGAGGAGGAGGGGGGCGCGGTGGCGCGGCCTGCGCGAACCGCAGCAGCGTCCTCCCGCTGTGGTCCTTCCACTCCTGGGGGGGGGGGGCGCGCGCCGCGCCAGGGCGAGGGACCGCCCTCGGCCCTCGCGCAGGGCTGAACCCACTCGGTGTTTCTCGTGTTCGTTTTGTTTTCGTTTTCCCTCGCTCTTGTGTCGATTCCACCTTTGCCACAAAACAAAGTCAAAACGAAAATTGCCCACGAAATCACCAGAGACACTATTTAGGTCCAGCCCTGCCCTCGCGCCCAGGCTCTTCCGGCTGGAGGCAGCCTTGCCGCGGCAACACGCGAGAGCCTCCCAGACCGTCTGGCTGGCTCTTGCGACGTTCGCCGACGCTGATCGGCGCAAATCGACGCCAAATCGGCGCTCTCCCATCGACTACCTGACGCTAGCGCACGCCAACGTGCACTCTGAAGACGGAATTGCGAGGACGCGCACGGCTCCCATGGTGTCCGAGCAGATGGGTTCGGAGGATGCATCGGCGACGTCGGCGTGGAGAAAAACGGGCTCCACATCGATCCGCATCGTTGATGAATCGGCAATGCGGCGTGATCCTCCGACTCCGACCGCGTCTGCTCGGACCTCACCTGGGAGGCCTAGAATTATGCTACCGAGCAACTGTGAGCTCTCTTCTAGACCGTGAGCGAGACTCGTGGCAAGACGTCCAGTGCCCTTGCACTTTTTACGTCGCAGCGCGGCAGAGGCGATCCGCACGCGCGCTCTTGTAGCCTGTGGCGCGTGGCGTACTACTTATCCCGGCAGCAAATAGCCCGCGGCCGCGGAACGTAGGCCAGCGGGTCCAGTGCCCTCACACGAGACCTCGTGGACTTCCGTGCATTCGGCGCAGGGGCAAGAACGGACGCCGGCGTCCCGCGGGCGGCCCCCCCTCCGCGGGGCGAGCTGCATCCCCGCCACCCGCTCCTCACCGCAGCTGGAGGGACAAAAAAAGCACACACACACACACCTCCTCCTCCTCCTCCTCCTCCTCCTCCTCCTCCTCCTCCTCCTCCTCCTCCTCCTGCTCC